AAAAAATACTCATGATGATTGCTGTTTTCAAGTTCTTAATTCGCTTAATACGTGTTCATTTGCCGAACAGGCAATCATGAGGTCAAGTAGCAGTGATTCCACACGGCAGAGGGACGGCAGTCCTAAATAAAATTGCAAGTCCCAAAAACTGGACCACTGGGCAATCTTAGACCAGTCTCAATTTTTACGATGGCTACCTGTTTAAAGCATGCTTTCCCGTCCTTGATGGGAAATATGGTATATTTTGAGATAAATTTATTTACCCTTATGTTTAGGATTATCGACTTCAAACTTTCAATTAGACTCAGACTGTAATATTGAGTGAGGCGGAGGGGGAGGGGTGACATTAGGGGAATGGGGTGCTGAATGCTTCAATACCGCAAATGCTAAAATTTAGTAATAAGCCTGCGTAGTTGTTTGCTTATATCTAGTGATTTAGCGTCAAGAGGTGAATTTCTCCACCAATCGGAGCGTCGAATTCTTATATTCAGCTCTAGTTATTATACTTATTATATTTAACAATGAGAAAATGAGTCTGAGATTCGTTTGGGGCGATAATTTACGAGGCCGAAAGCTCCAAGAAATCAAGAGCGAATAATATAATTGCTTTAGCAGAATTTTAACTAAGGTTCGATTACTCGACGATTTTATATCATTTTTCTATATTTCAAAGTAGAGAGGAACCGAGCGCTGCCTGAGCAGTAAATTGGGTGCGCGCGCAAAGTTCATTCAACAATTTTAGATTTGACAGGCATAAGCGCATAAGCATAAGCCGACGTACGTAAACGCAGTAAGAAGTTTATGATTAGCCGTGAGCACATTTTGTTTGGAAAATTTCCAAACAAAAGGCGCTTCTTAACAGCCCTATATACTATGTCTGCATATGCTGAATGAAGGAGTAACAATGAGTTGTCACCAATGGAATTTCCCCTTAATGAGAATCAAAAAAGCTTGAAGTTTCTTGTGGATGTTATTTTTAGTATGCTCAAAGGCTACCGTTTTTCGTGCAGAAGTGAATCAAATTTTGTTGTAACAGTTCTCACTCCTGACTGAAGTGTAAGCTTCCATTGGCCGAGAACTTATCYTGAGACGCACCTAAAAACTGTTTAATTCCTGAGGACGAACAAAGTCACTACTTTCCCTTAGGCCGGGAGCCGTCGACCTACCTTGTTAGTAGCAATTTATGACACAAATTTTGACCGGTATTACTTCGATCATCGCCCAATAAAACACCGTGCAATAAAACCAAATTTCACATGATGGCCCATGCATTGAAGTAGAATTATCTCTTTCCTCTCTCTTTGTTCCGAATTTTCGTGTTAGAGCTTTAGCATGGAAACGAGGCTGGCAAAAAATGCACAATAAATTATAATTTAGCAAGTTAAGCTCCTCTGTTTTGTTCAGTTCTTTGAATTATTTTTTGGAGCCTTAAACAAGATGCTGCTCAAAATTTCGTCATCCATTTGTAAACATTTTAAGAATGAATATCCTTCAGATTCTAATCCCATTCTACTGATTTCAAAATACACATTTGTCAAATAGTAGCGCATACTTGTCGGCGGTAACTTGCGACTTTTACGATATGCTTCTGACACTATTACTATTACTGATCTGGATGTCAATTTATCTCAGGTTATCCATAATGCCAGCTTGCTTCAACATTGTAGGTTTGTGCCATTACATGGTTTGGTATTACGCACTCGCCGTACGATAGGGTAGGCTGCTTACCCACATATTTCTCCCTAAATATCAACACGTACTTTTTCGTTCTATTCATCCTCTTAAGTAGAAAGTCACTGTGAAAATAAAGCGTCTTC